TCTACCTTCCAATAAACTTGTTCATAAAAGGCTAATTTAGAGCATGCAGGTATCTGTCTATGTTGGGCAAATGAAGAGTTGGAGGGATTCTTTTTGTTCCTCCCATTCTCTTAGCATTGGTTAGTGAGTGCAGGTTGAACGTATGACTTTACGTTACAGAGCTCCTCTCCATCACCCAAGCCTTTTGTCAATTCACCAAATGTGACAATTATAGCATTTCAGAGATGAGACTTTCTAATCCTATTATTTATTCATCAACCTGCGGATGATAGCAGAAGCCAGATCGAACAGTGCCAAAAGAGCAGTGAGGAGCCTTCTCTAGTGCTGTGAAACTAGGCTTAGCTCAGGCACAATAGGTGTGTAATTTAAGGTTTTGTTGAGCTGAAATCCAATCACATACTTGGCTGCTGGATCACAGAAAGACACAGACAAAAAGAATGAGATAATTCCACCTCACACAAACACTTGAATCCGGCTTTGACTTAATAACAAGTGTGTGATCAACCTTACACTGTTTCTTTGATTTTTTTTTTTTATTTGAACCTTGAGATGGGATGGCACTAGAATCTTTATCTGATACTTGGATATCAGGCGATAATACTAAAAAAAGAAACAATAGCAAACCCCAAACAACAAATCAAAACAAAAAAAACCACAGAATGGTGGAACTGGTTAGACAAATGGAAAAAGTACAGATGTTCATTATATAAAAGATAATATGAAAATTTAACTTCTGAGCCTAGCTTAGTGGTATCTTGTCAGCATCTGGTACCTGTTGCTTTCCCAAGGATGGGGAGGATCTAGCAGAAATATAAGGAGAACAAAGCTAAAAAAGTTAAACCTTGACTGCCCAAGTATAAGTCCTCTGTTAAAACCATAGTTTTGGTGGCCACTTTGAGCTCTTTGAACAGGTTAAATGGGATTAACAGTGCACGAAATTTGATACTAACTTGTACATGTCATGACACTCAGAAATACAGAGACCCCAAACTAGAGGAGACATTAAAAACATGAGTGCAAACCCACTGCTAGGAAAAATAGCAAAAAGGTTTAATGGTTCAGGTCTGGCAGAAGAGTAAGTGCTCTAGAACAGTGGTTGAAAATGTGGGGGTTTTTTATTAAAGTTTGCATATCAAGAAGTGCCTTCAAGCCACATGGCTTGAACGTATATGTAAGGCTCCAAATGCCTTAGATCCAGTTACATGGGCATTGGGTCACTAATGTGCCATCAGCCCGGTAGGCTGCCCATGAACATAAGCAGAGCATAACTCACATGGAAGCCAGTTGTCAAAGCTAATCTACAGCAACAGGTAACACTTGCACTGTCCTTGTATCAAAACAAAGGACCCAAGCCCTGGTGTCAGTACTCCAGTGGCTGGGAAAAAAACCCAAGGAGCTCAGAGAGATAAAAAAGGAAGGGGAATCCTGAGGACCAAAGAGTTAAAATGAAGTTTGAACCTTGGCATTAGTCATAAGAGACCAAAATCCAGACAATGTTTTGCTAAAGAAAAGATAAATAAATTACCAGTTTGCAGGATGTTAGACTCAAAAGCATACAGAAACAACACAAATTTTTTTGTTTGTTTAATAAGTGAATTAGTGGGGGGAAAATCCCATGTCAATGAAACTCATATTCAAGCATGATACAGAGAGAGATTTTCAGTGGTTCATATGAATAAAAGGAGACTGAGAAATGTTCCAAGCAGAGAGGGGAGGAAAAAGAAGATATCCACAACATGGAATAATCTGAGAAGCTCAAATGGAGTCTAATGTGGCTCCCAAACTGCAGAGATCTCATAAACATAGAGATTTCATTCAGCAATATAAACTCTGACATTTGACCAGACAATTGCCTTGGGGGCATTAGCTAAAATAGCCTCAGCTTTAAAATTGAAATATGAACTTCTGAAGGCTTTGGTGGTTGTTTTCCAGTGACACTGAGGCAACCAATAGCAGTAGTGGCTGCTGGATATATCAGCATCCCTAATTTAGAAAGAGGCTGGAGATTTTGGCTATGTTTAGTTGTGATGCCCTCTCATCTAAAAACATTCTTTCCCTTTGGTTTGCATAGGTAGGTAGTTCAACTGTCTTTCACCAACATGAAGTCAGGTATAGTTTTCATCACCCTTTTGCCTGTCAGGGAGCCAAACAACACAGCTGTTAATGGTGCATAGCACAGTCAATGAGCTGGGGCAGTGGTGCTGCTCCTGGGTTGTAGCGCTTGCAAAGGTGATCCTGGAGAGGCTGAATCCTTCCCTGGCTTGGTGAGTGCCTGTGCAGGGTAGAATGGAGATTGCTGTCATCTTCCATGCTTTGGGGAGCAGGTATCAAGCATTTACCCTCTCTACCCAGCATGTGGGTTTTATAATTCATTTTTCTAGTTGAACACAGTTTGGGTTCCTTTGTGCTGGGGACCTCAGTCATGAGTGGCAACCCACTGTGGAGCAGACCCTGAGGGTGAGAGGCAGTTGCCAGAACAAATGCAATTGTTGATGGTCTCTGGGGGCTGCAAATGCTCTCTGTGGGATCTGTTTGATGTCGCTGACCCCACACTGAATTGGGAGGAGTAGGAAACTCTGTTCAACACTATCTGTATGAATGCATCTGCTAACGACCTGTGCCTGGTAAGGTGTTAACGCACGCACAGTGCAGCACTTCAGTAAGTGCTCTCACTTTATAGACGTGTGCACACTGCTACTGTATTTTAAGTAGGTATGCTCTTTTCATGGTGTTGAACAGCTTCAAAATCCTACCCAGGTTAACAGTGAGAAAGTAAATGCTTTTTGTTGCTGCTGGTTTCTTGATATCCTGGAGGAATGAGAATAGTACCGGTTTTAGTTTGCTTTAGACTACAGATCAGCAGATTCTGACCTGACCCATCTCTCCTTTAGCTATCAAATCAACAGTCAGGACAGCTATGTGACTTTCTTGCTTTTGTCCAATACAACAACAACAAGCTAAACCAGGTTACAGCTCTTGCTGACCACAAAGTAACTTCCTTTGTGTGCGCCCAGTACAAGGAGAACGTAAGGACCTGTTTGGTATTGTTAGTATGGTCCCTTAAACTCCACGGGCTCTTTCCCTCCCACACCAGCTCCGTGTCACAGGTCCCTGCTGACTTCAGCAAGACAGCATGTGGGGAAGAACGTCAGCTTAGTAAGATACCCATGTACTGCACATCTGTACTGGTTGTCTGTGGTCAGGTGTTGATAGCAGGGGTGGCCTCTGCTAGAAGAGACGAGGGGCTGCCCTGTGCCAAATACAGCTGGAACTGTCTCTGCAGCGGACCCACCACAGGGCACTGCTGACCCCATCAGTAAAGCTGGTGGCAGCTCTTTGAAAATGTATTTAAGAAAGGGCAGAATGCTGTACAGGCAGGGAGGAGTGAGGGGAAAAAGGTGTGAGAAATAGCACTGAAAGCACCATAAGTCAGAGGAGAGTGCTCCAGGCAATGGAGCAGGCTTTTCCCTGCAGCCTATTGAATGGACCACAGTGGAGCAGGTGTTTCGTGGCAGTCCATGGAGGATTATGCCAGAGCAGATACCCGCAGAGCAGCCCATGGAGCAGGTGGACATTTCCTAAAGGAACTGTAGCCTGTTGGTGTCCGATATAGCTCCTGGCAGAAGCTGCAGTCTCAGTGGAAAGCCCACGCAGGAGCAGATTTCTCCTGAAGTACTGCAGCCCATGGAAGGATCCACACTGAAGCAGTGGAAAAGTGTAAGGAGGGAGTGGCAGAGAGGAGCTGCTATGGACTGACTGCACCTCCTGCTCCCCATGCTGCTGCTTGTGTAAGGGGGAGGTAGAGGAGTTGAGAACAAAGGAGCAAAATTGAGCTTGAGAAAATGGGGTAGCATGGGGGAAGGTGTTTTAGGTTTTGTTTCTTATTATCCAAAACTATTTTAATTGGCAAATAATTAGATTAATTTTCGCCAAGTCCAGCCTGTTTTGTCTGTGACAGTAGCTGGTAAGTGATCTCCCTGTCTTTACCTTGATCCATGAGCTTTTCCATCACGTTTTCTACTCCTGTGCTGCAGAGAACAGGGAGCGAGATTACAGCTGGGTGGGCATCTGGCCAAGGTCAACCCGTCATAATACAGGTTTCAGTGACTTTCAGTACGAAAAGCAATGTGAAGTTGAGTTGTATAACTTTAACCAAGAACCATAAATTATATTTTGTGTCTACCCTGAGTGTGCAGAGTGTTCAGTTCTGGCAGACAGTAAGGCAGAGTGTGTATTATAATGCAAAACATTTGGTCCTCCCCTAACTTCTCAAATCAAAACAGCCAGGACAAGCAGTTCTTCTTCCCCCTTGCCTTTCTTCCACCCTCCCTTTGCCCTGCCCTCTATGGCCCTTTGGCAACCTGTGTAAGCAGTGGCAGACCCAGCTACCTCACTAAAATCCTGCTCTCTGCAGTAGTCTTTAAAAGGTCAGCCACCATGGGCCCATAGTGATGTTTTTACATGATTCCTTTCTTTTTGTCTTTGTATTCTTTTCCTCGGTTCCTTGTCAAACTTCAAGAAAAGCTCTTGAAGTGCACAGAACTGGGGGCAGGTTTGGCCTGAAAGAAACTTAAGTGCCATGTTTCTGTCTCTGTAGATCCCTGATCATTGCTGTCTGTTGCTGTAAAGTGTCAGACTCTGTATTGGTTGGTCACTAACAGCAGCAACACTAAAGGAAGTTGAGTGAGGATGATGTTTAAGCATTTCTCATCTTAAGGAGCTACCATGGCAGCTGTGGAAGGCTCCTACAGTCTGGGTGTGCTCTGAATAACCTCTCTCACTATGGTTCACATTAAAAATTTTGATTATCTGTCAGACTGCTGCTCCCCTTCTCCTGAGCTATCAGAGTTGCAACACTCTGTAGAAGTCATTTACTTGCCAGAGGTACCGTTAGCCCTTTGTGAACAATTAAGCTGAGGTCGGAGGTTGTTATATATCAAATTTACGCACTGTATTAAATTTTATTTTTACTGAAAGGAACTTTTTGTCTCTTTTATCAGGAGGAAAATTAAGCTGTGAACTGGAATTCCATCAGGCTGTCTACTGTGAAGCCCTGTGGCTTTAGCAAAGGGGCAACAGTGGTCAGAAATGACACTCAAAAGGTAAATTTATTTCTTTTTTATTAAAAAAGATAAGTTATGACCTGTACAGTATATCTTGAAGAAGAAGGGAAGTTAACACTATACACTGTATTTTCCCATTTCTTTTAAAAAGCCTGATCTTGCAATGTGTAGAGAAGTTCTGAGCGGGAGGAAAGGGGGTGTGGAGCTACCACTGAAGTTGCATGGCACAGTTGTACCCACCCTCCATCCCTGCCTCACCAGCAGCAGCCTCTCTTTCTGGTTACTAGATGAAATGTTGGAGGTTCTCTTCTGGCTGAAAAAGTCATGGAAGTGTGAGCTAAATATTCTGCCTCTCTAACTACAAATGGACAAGGGGTTCAGGGTAGGCTTTTGAAAAATACTTTCTCTTTGATTCTGGCACTGAAAATTGCTCAAGGTAGTTTTTAAGACCTTTGAAAAGACATCTTCATGGAGGGACTCTTCTTTCACCAAACCCACCAGGAGTTTTGCTGGTCTGGGTCAGTTTCAAAAATTCTGTTCAAATTTTACAGTGCTTGTGAATTTTTGTCATTCGAAAAACCTGTTATTTAATAAATGAAAAGAATTTTATTATAAAACCAAACTACAGTGTCATTCCCTGGTTTCCAGAGAACAGACATTCCCAGATTTGCTGGGTACACTGCCAGGCTGGTGCTTCCTTTTACCTCCCTGGGGCTGTATTCTGTAGTTCAGGGAAAGAATTGTTTTTTGGACCTAAAAATGCAAGTATATGCTTGTTTTCTTCATATAGGTATAAGACAGTCCTTTGTCTCTTGCGTGCATATATGTGCAACTTCAATAACTTGCTGATCCTGTCACTGTTTACACAACTTGCTCTCTGCATGCGTCTGACCAGCTGTGGTTTATACACGGACATGTTAGATTTTGTGCACAGTGTCTGAAGATATCAAATTAGTCTGCAAAGATCCTCCAACCTTTTCATTTTTCTGTTAGATTAAAGGTTTGCCTTGCTATATTTGGTGTGGATTTCTCCTTCCCTCTTTGCTGCACAGTGTTATGTTCCGCTCATCCATATCTCCTGTGTTTCTGCCCTAAAGAAGGCGGAATTTCAACAGGAAAAAAAAAAGGAAAAAGAAGGATTCTATTGTGCTCTGTATAGCTTGAAAAACACCCTGTGGGATGAATTGTGCAATTTTAATATTCATTATCTCAAATGTAGACAACAGAGTAGACTGTAGTAGGAAAGACTGATTAGCAGATCACTGACTATAGTTTTTTCAACTCAGGACATTATTTGGTGATAAGTGAGTAAAACAGTTTCTTGAGACCTGAATCTTTGGTGTTCTAAAATGCAATGTAACGGCTGTGTGGGAGCCATCCTTCAGTAAACACATACACGGGAGCTCACGAGCCATGCATGGACAGAACTGACTTCCTTTGTAAGCCTTAGGCCTTACTGCTTAGAAGCTGAGACCAGGAGATTTCTGTTGCTCTCTCCAGCTCTAAATGAAAGACCGGTTCAGAAGGAAGTGCAGGAGGGGAGCATGCAATCAGTCCATAAAGTGAATGGTAATGTTTTAATTACAATTCTATTGTTATTCTTCCTATATGGCTGTTCGGGGTTGTGTAGTTTGCATATTCATTCCTTTCATTCTCACAGAGGTTTTGTTGTCGGGTTTTTTTGTTTGGAAAAAGTTTGACTCCAAAAAGAGGCCAAAGTTTTCATTAACAGGCTATGAGGGAAAGAAAGAAGAAAGGGCTGTTTTCTCTATATCCAAAGATTTCTGCAGAGTAAGGATACAAGGATAATTCTGAAGAAATAGAGATAAAAAGATTTATTTTTTTTTTTTTTAGACAAGAGACAAGTGCAAGTCAAATTGTACGTGGCAGCAAGATTTGGGAGCATAATGAAATTTAGACAAGCAAAAAACTCCTCTAACCCTCACCAAATGCAATCAAAATGAACTGATAATTTTTGTAAAGCTGCAGTACTTGCAAGTTCCTTTTTTCATGTGAACTTTTCCATTGTTAAAAACTTCAGCACTACATACTGGGTTAATTCCTTTCCCATAGAATACATGTATTCACAATATTTTTTCTTTTTTTCTTTCTTAAAAAAAAATAAAATTAGCAAATAATGTGGAATTCATAGCAGACTTCCAGCTCCTGCGGAAGAGTGAAGATGCTTTTGCTTTGCATAACCTTTGCATATAAGGAAGTAAGTTATCTCCTTGTAGAAACACTATCACAACTACAACCTTCTTGACTAGCTCTTTACGTTTTCCTGTCAAGCACTATTCTCATTACATGGGCACTTCTCAAGCTTTTGTGTCAGTATGGATTAGTTTCATAAGAACATGCTGAGACTGTGCAAAGCTGCAATGCCTTCCATCTCCATGGCTGCTTTGAGAGTAAATGGGATTCCACTTCTTGTTCTGAGGTCAGAACAGTGTTAGAGGTCTTTCTTCAAGCCTAAGCCAACCTCAGATATCCCTGGGAGATACATCTATGGTGGAGCAGACTGGGGTAGTGCATGAGCATAGACCAGGGCTTGGAAAATGGTGTTAAGGTTGATTTGGGGAACTTTTTCTTTCATTGTAGAGTTAAAGCCATAACAGCCAATTCAAGCTGCAGAGCTCTGATGCCTTTCCAGAGTTATAGTGTTCTGTGCACCCACTACACACATACAATCAGGGAGTAGGGGGAGTCCACTGCAGACTCCACTCATGTAAGCTGTCTCCAGCTGTCACTAGAGGTACTGGAAAACAAGTCACCATCACAGGTATTTCCTGCTGCCATCAGATGATGTGTAGTCACTTGGTTTTGCCAAGGATAAGAAAAGAACAGGCTGCAACAGCCAATATTTAATAAGTGCATCCTGAGATTTTTCAGGGTAATTTCCATATTTATACACAGTATATTTTAATACGACTGTGCTTGCCCATCTATTTTTTTCCTAGCCTATGCTGTCTGGAGGCCTGAGAACTTTGTCTTTCCATTGTGTTCTGTCTCACAGGCATGGTATAATGACAAACCAATTCCCTTGCTTCCCAGTTAATGAATAGTCTCTATTTTTTTCAGGCAAGAGTGTTAAAGAAAGCCTAGCTTTCTGCTATTAAAAATATTCAGTGATATTTATGACAGATTTTCCACTTCTTCTTTCCTGCTGCACATAATCTTCAAGATCATTAAAGGGAAATTCTGAGATTTTCCATGCTCAGTGCTAATGTAGCACTTGTTTCATAATGAAGCTTGAAATGGTGGGGTTTTGCTCTGCACATGATTAATGCTAAAGTCCACATCCTTATCTGATAGAAAACACCAAGAGCTCCACTGAAGTAAATGAAGTTAGGATAATTTGCATCGGTTGAAGATGTGGCCCTATATCTGGTTGACATTATCATGCCTGCTACAGTATAGACACCAGCTGGGGTGGTGTTGTTTCATTCCTGTGTGGGGTAGGAAGGGCCTCAGTGGGGGAGAATGAAAGTGGAGAACAGCCATTGCTAGCACAAGCTACGAATGCGCCGCTTGAAGTATAAGAAGATTAAAATAAAAAGGAAAACGCACCGTAACATAGTGAGAAGCAACTGAAAGGACATGAACTTAGTGAGGTTGCTCCGCTTCATGTTACTCTGGAGGGATTAGCGCTCAGAACAGTTCCTTCAGCCCACGTCTGTGATCAGGGATGGGAAACTTCTCCCATGCCCTGGTGTTTTCAGGTCAAACTAAACTGCTTAGGGGCTGAACCTCAAAGACATATGGAGGCTCTAACTACTACTGTGCAAAATGCCCTGTTTCTCAGGTGGAGCTGGCAGGAACCAGTTCTTCAGCAGCTGTGGTTGGCTTTCTATTTGCATTTGGATGGAAACCAAAAGGTTGCTTTTCTTCTCTCTGCCTTTGAATACAACTCTCTCTCCTTCTTTAAACTGCCCTACTTCGTAACCATTGATGCTGTTTACAGCACTGTAGCTACCTGATTCTGGGCTTTTGTTTCAGAACACTTGTGTCATAATATTCTCCACTAGAGGAGTCTTGCTAGAGGCATTGTCTCTCTCCTTCAGCCCCAGGGAGAATGCATCTTGCCTCTGTGGCACAGTGGAGACTTCTGGGATTGTCTTTCTGTCCAGTATGACTGAAATAGCTGTGAAGTATGGTATGAATTAGTAGGTTACAGCTACGTTCCTTGAGCTGCACAGCAAAAGAAATAATATTTTTACTCAGCATATTTTTTCCCCAAAATAAACCTTTGCAGTAATTTTTCATTAGTAATATTCAGTAAAATAAAACCTTTTAAAGACTTGATCCAGCTGCTATTAAAATAAAAACAGAATTTCTATTGAATTGAATGAGGTCAGCATAGGGCTCCTAGTGAAGGCCAATACAATTTTTAGTTCCTTCTCGCTGCTTCTTGTCTGATCTGGCAGTTACACATCAGAAAGTTGGCCAGCTGTGAGGTGGAGATTCAAGAAGGATGGGTATGCCTCAGAATCCATTGCTCCAGCTGTCTCAGGCTGTTCTGGTGAGCCAGAGGTTTGTGCTCTTCAGCTCGGTAATAGGGAATTAGAAATGTGTGCTGAAATAGAAGCCAGAGTTCAGGGTGAGGACACAGAAGAACAAAGCCCATTGGTATGGGAGAATTATAAATGGCATGAACAAATCACGATCATTTCAAATACATGCCAAATGTGACTTGTGATTGTCACTTTTCTTGAGAATACAGCCCTGCTACCAGAAAAAAAAAAGAGAAGCTGGTGATCTTTTTGGAATTAAAGGTTTAGGATATGACATGGGGAATTAGACATGGGCCTCCTGGTTAGCAAGAATGTTCTGAAAATGAACTCTGTCTCCAACTCAGTTGGGATTTTTTATTCCACTGAAGAACAGGCATAAATGTCATTGAGGAGGAGAGTAGATCTCACTATTGGAAACTTTTGATGTTATTTTCAAATGCAGTTGTAAAACTGAGTGATGACACATAGGTGTCCGCACTCAAAATATTTACAAATCAGACTCTGTGAGTGCCTAGTTTTTATGGAGTCAATAAAATATTGCTTAGTCTTTCCTGGTAAATTTTTAGGCCTCAGTAATTATTATTAAAAAGAGGGAAAACAGGGAACTGTAGCAGAGTTGACAGTATAATTTATAACCCCTACTTTTTTACCGTGGCCTTACAGTAAAAAGACTGTTTGGTAACATTCAGGCCCCTTCAACAATCTTTATCATAAGCGTGTGCTTTTGGCAAGTAGCTCCACTAAAGTCTGGGCAAGTGATGATGACATTTGGAAGTCAGAAGGAGCATGAGATTGTAAAACACTGTGCAGAACAACAAATTGGGCCTCACAACATCAAGTCCCAATGCACTATTGTAAGTGATTTGGATTCTCTCAGCCTCAGTTTCCTTCTGTGTAAGCAGTGATTATCTCCTTTGTGAAGTTCTTTGACATCTGCAGAAGAGAAGTACTGTAAAAACACTTGCTTGCTATTATGCATATCTTTGAAACAAAGCTTAATGCTTCAGTGCTTTGCTGGGTTGGGGTGAATGTGCTTAGCACTTTGTGTGATCAAGCTGTAGATTACATAGGCAGTGGTTTGTAATAAGAGTCTTATCAGTAACAAAACCCTTTCTGTCATTATCAGACAAGCAACAATTGTATTTTAAAATGGTTGCCGGATGTGTTTATTTGAAGATGGTTGTTTCTAGCATGGCTCAAACCATTGTGTGGCAAGGGTTCAATTGCTTCCCACTAAAGCCAACATTTATAGCTTGGAAAACTCTGTAAGATAAATGTCACTTTCTGCCATAATTTGTGGAATCAATACAAACTGAGTCAAGGAATCATAAACAGTAATGTGAAAATAAAATGATCTGTGTTATGGTTTTTAAGTAAATGATGATAAACTAATAAATGCCATTAGCTGCTGCCATTACTTTGTTGAATTTAGCGGATGTTACTGTGTTGACTTTAAAAGCTATCAGCTTAACTATATAAATCCATTTGACGTGTCTTTATTCAGATAAAACTTTAATACTGCAAGTGTAGCAAATTAGATGCAAATGCTCTTTTTATTTTAAGTATATTTAAAGCTGCCTTTTCAATGCAAATTTTACAGGAAATCTCAACAAGCAAGGACAGACATCTTAGCTGTCAGCATGCAGCACTTTCATTTCGGTCTCAGGCATGGGAGCTGCGTTTTGTCCCTGCAGACTGAGATAATTAAAACTACAGAGAGATGGTTTTAAATATACATGATACACAGTTACTTAAATTGTGGGATAATGCATAAATGTAGCCCTTAACATTTTTGTAGCACAACACTGACCAGATAACATAGCAGAGTGGATTGCAGAGAAAAAAAATAAATTTTTGTGTTAACAGTTTTTTTTGTTCTTTTTTTCTGTTCACCTATATCATTGTGGAGACACAGAAATACCAATTCAAAACCTGGGCTGTGAATGCCCTCGTTAAAACGATACTGATACCATTAACGTTTTTCTTTTTAATTATGCTTTAACTTCTTTGGTTTTGAGCAGTCCATCACCCCTTTGGAATACATATCTATTTCAGCTTTCACTTGCTGAACCCCCTGAATGAGTTTATCCAAACAATGTGAATTTACTCAGATCTTTTTAAAATCCCACCTCTCTTGTGGTTGATAAATCTGACTTTAGCTAAGAAGAGTTGGATCAGGGTGATTTAAATTTCACAGTGAAAATGATAAGGGCTTTACTAGAAATAATAAGCACATTCAAATGCTGTCATGGGCAAACAGTTGAATGTTCACTGAGAAATTTGGCAAGGCTCGTCTTTTTCAGTGTTGATTTAATGAAGTAATGGATAGTAAAATAGAATAAAAGAGAGACTTGCATTCAAAGGTAAACTTATGTTAATTCCGTATCAGTAGTTTTATAAAGCTTTATTCATTAAAAAAAAAAAGCAGCATTAATGCTCTAATAACTTTTAAAAAGTCACGCTGTGTAAAAATAACAAAAATACCAAATCAACCCACCAGCTAGGGAAGAAGAGTACATTCTGGCAGCTCTACAGACTGGCTGAGTGATAGCCTGTTAGTGTCACGAACAGCGTGATAGCTTGTTGAGCCTAAGGATAACTTGAGTTTCAGGAAAAGAAATAGAACCCACATCCACTTAAGCTCTAGGGCAAACAGTAAGTGTCCACAGTTTGCTTGTCCATTTTAGCAACGCTTTTCTCATTCAAATTGTGAGGCGAACCTGCACAGCCCCCTTCGCAAAGGCAGGCGTGCCAGGAGCTGCTACATGTGCAGGATCAAAAGGTGCCAACCCATGGATCCAGACGTGCGCTGGATACGGCCATTGAGAGGGGCAGCACGGCAATGAACAGAAGAAGAAGGTTGTATTCTGAGGCAGTCAAAACGTTCAGACCTTTAACAGCCGTCATTAACGGCTTTTTGTACGGCAAGGAATTAGTAAGGTGTGATCAGGAAGGCATCAGGAAAAAAAAATTAATCTACTGTGCATGGCACTTTCAGGAAAGGGTGAGAGAGAAGAAAAGGGAAGAAACATCACTGCGTTGCCAAAGGGCTGAGGTTAAGAATCCGTCTGTGCCATTTAAAAGTTTTTAATTCCTACATTTTAATGCCTCGCAGGCCATTGTGTCAGTCTACTTTAGCTCCTTCAAGGAGCCATCTCGCTCCTGACAAGTGGATTAGCTCTCCGAGGGGCTGCGGCTCCCTCCCGCTCAGGGACCGCATCCATCACCCCTCACGCGCACACCCGCTGCGGCCCCCACTCAGCCTAGCACTGGCTCCACCTCACATCTGGACTTCTGAAATCTCAGCACCGATAGTCCCTAAGTGGGATAAATTTAGTTTTTTACACGTGCCCTATGATCTTTTATTTCTCTCTTCTTCTCTGTCTCTCTCTCCCCGCCCCCCCCCAGCTTTTTTTCTTTTTCTTTTTTTTTTTTTTTTTCTTAAGGAAGGTGGTAAAAACCTGATGGAAGGCTTCCTGACATCAGCGCAGGGGAGACGCTGTCATTAGCAGACAGAGAGAGATCAATATTCCTGCCCAACCTTTCTGGTTGCAGTTCCAGTCAGTAATTATATAGCTGTTCTAAATCCATGAATAGCCTGTATAAGGAAAAACTGAAAAACTAATCTCTTCAAAACAGCTTATTTGCATAGCTAATGACCAAAGAACTACCATTGACTTTGTCACTGACAACTTCTTTGTGTTTGGTAAACAGATTTTGTAGGAATAAAATGATTCTAAGATTAAAAAAAAACACGTATTTGAGAGCTGAAATCCCCCTATCCGCCATCACACATGTATTTTCTGCATTGGGCTCATTACTGGACAAGTATGTCCTTTAAGACCCAGAGATTAATGAACCATTTTACGAGACTAATACATTTAAAATTTTAACACTGGAGTTAGCATTTATAATTGTACAATTATACATTCGTTTAGATTTTTTTAAAGATAACTAATCACAGGTGACTGGAACTGTGTGAAGAGGCAGAATTTATGTTTCTCCTGCTGCAAGAGTACTAAATCATGCAGGAATTGAAATTGTTTTCCTTATGACAGATAGCTCAGGCAAGATTAGTCAGTCGCTGTTTCATATATAATGCTTTTTTATTACGCATACTTTATGTGGGACTATTATATTTGTAACGTATATTTCTGCATACAGCAAATTAACTGTTGTGTAATGCAAGGACCAAGGAAGAATATAATTAGTTCTTGCTATCCCGCAGTTTTGAGCAGCTGGTAAAATATATACCAATCATCCAACAGCTAGCTTCATGTTAACATGTATAACAAAGCCTGAACGATTCTGTTTGACAGAACTTTACCGTGTAGCAATAAATAAGGCTGAATTATTGATGATGATAACTGCTAATATTATTATGACCTCAATTAAGTGGGTTTTTCAGACACATTAGCAACAAAAGGTCTTCTCTATGCTCATTGCTGGAGTTTTCAAGTTCCACTTTACATTAAAATCGAATTGATCAAACCTATTTGCCATTTCGCTGTGAGTGGATAACCATAATGGGTAATCTATCAGCATGGTGCTCCCCTTAAAGCTATTAACACCTTTTGTTGTTTTACTCAAGTTTCTAAACGTGCTGAGAGGTTCAAAAAGGCAAACCCTACAATCTGTTAGGACTGCACGGAGCTGTGACTTGTGGCACTCTTTTAATTACTATACTTTTTTAACTCCTAACTTAAATACTGATATTTCTGACACTAAGTAAGTCTTTATTTACTTATGAAGCTGTGAGACAGCTAAATTAAAGCTGATTAGCAAGATGGCAGCTCTGCAGCTTGCAGCTGAGGTGAGTTTAGCTGCAGCATGGCATCTCCCCACAGCTCGTTGCTTGACTCTTAGTCACTGGGGCCGAGATCACTCAGCAGCAAGGCAAATAAAGGGAGCTTAGAGTTTTTTGCCCTTTGGCAAATTGGCAAATTGTGTTAGTTACATGTATATGTGTGTACAGTGCTGGAACGGTCTGTTTGTTTGTGAGAGAGCTTTTAGAAAAGGCAGAGGGAGATAATTTCTAGGGACTGGCTGTGTAGTGCGTGCGCTTGGGGAGTTGTGGGATTACAATCATTAAAAAGTGAAGAGCTAATGAAATAATCAGAGAAGACTGAATAAACTGGAGAATACAAATATGGATCAGCAGTCTCGGAAAGGCTGTCTCTCACTTGAATCTCTGCCGAACATTTCTGCCCTTTTGGAGCCATTCCCTGAGCTTGAGCATCTGGATTTTGGAGACTGAATGGCAAAATGGCTGAATGGCAAAAGATAAGAGGGAATTCCTTCTTTACACCCTTGCATCAAGCCTAGGCTAGGAGCCCTGTTTGTAAAATGCTGATGCTATGGCCAAGTGAAAGTACGTGGAGCCTGTGTTCATCAGCACAGAACCCTGGTAATATTCTTAGTGATAATCCCAGCAGAAAAACCTGGACATAAAAAGCAGGGAAGTCCTTTATTCCCTTACATGTTCCTTCCCCCCGCCTTTTCCCTTTTTTTTTGGGGGGGGGGGGGGGGGGGGGGAGAGTGTGGTGTGAGTGTAGCTGTTTCTTGGATTTTGTTTCATTTCAATCCTCTCTGTTCAGTTGCACTGCGACTAGCATTGGTGAGTGTCCTACTCATGGAAGAGGAGAAGCCCAGATGGATCCTTGTCCCCTCTACGAATTGCATTGTGGGAGGGAGCTGCTGTCAGCACAGACGAGGGCCTCCTGTTCTACTGTGGGTTCAGGAGAACAGGGAGCACCCTGGTGGAACCCTTTGTGCAGGGACTGCATGGCGTATATAGGGCTGGTGAGAAAGCACAGTTCATTTTCTGTATTCTGAAAGGGCAACAGTCTCTGCCTGGCAATCAAAATGCAGCCTTAGGTCCACAAAAGCCTGTTGCCTGTGTCATTTCATGAGAGAATTCACTCATAATTATTCTTACATCAAATTCTTTTAACTGCAGAGTGCCACAAGTCAAGACAGGGATCCTGGTTCACTGCTGGCACAAGGAGAGTCAGCACCACAGATTTAAACCAGGTCACGCCTTTTGTGACGTTAATGCTAGCATTAGTTTGGGCCCTTTTGCTTCTACTTATTTAGTGAGTCAAAAGCAGGGTGAAATGAAGAAATATTTGTGTTGGCTTCAAAACCAGATTGAAGATAAATTACTGTTAAGCTCCAGTTCTGCTTAGCTGTTGATACATGTAATATGGCAAATTAATTAAAAGCTTATACTCACAATATATAGGGATTTCAATTGTTTTAAAGTGGTGGTTAGTCTTTCAGCAACTAGGGGATACACACGACTGAGTTATTCTGGAACAGTGTTTCCAGAAGTGTATGTTTAGTTTACCACACTTCCAGTTTCTTCCTGTCAATCACCTTTCATGCATTTTTATCTTGTGTTGAACAAACCAGAACTGTCCTTTGCCCATTTTATGAGTGTTCTGCAAAGCAGAGTATGAAGTGGGTCAATGACAGCTCATCCATCTCACTGCTTTGGAAAGGGGTTCTCCTACTGGACAACATTCAGAGAAGCATTTTCTGAAGCCCACCCACCTAGTACTAGTCCCTCTTCAGGAGTGGTTGTGTTTCCTAAGGCATTTCTTGGAGGGGTAAATGGACGTCATCAAACAGCAGCTTTCTTTATGGTGTATAATGATGTTGACTTTTCTGATGCTTCAGCTGCTGTTGTCTTAATATAGGCTGTCGCTCATATGTCAGATGGAAACAAAAATCAATAAGCAATGAAAACGGGAGTAAAGGGAAAACAGAGGAACAAAATGATGAACAAGAATTTGGTATCTCTCCTCACATGCTTTATTCAGGTGGCATGTGTGTTTTACCATTTCGCAGGATCTACAGATAATCCCCACTGCCTCCTGCTCACATGAATTGAACTCTTCCCATTCTGTGGAGAACGACACAGTGGTCATGGTACCAACTGCTCCAGCTGCCACCAATTTACCTCCAGAAAGCTGAGGCAGCTTGCTTAAGGGGAGTCAGAATCTGGGTAACTATTCCGGGAAACTGTCAGGTCCTTGTTTCCAAACTATCAGTACCCACGCAGCACACATCTCTGTGTTGTGGGTATGTGGCAGACACATCTAGACAGCCAACAGTTTTATAGACACATGTCAGTATTTAAAACCCAGCGCAGCTGTTTAGCAGGCTCTTGATGGTGCCTGGTAAAGTTCCTGGAGCTGATGCTTCCGCCTCTGTCTCTCTAGGAGCGCGGGCAACCTGCCGTTGCATCCCGCCGTTGCACCCCGGGGCTCTCCGCAGCAGCAGCGGCAGTGCCGAGGTCACGGCAGCTCGCACCCCTCTCCTCGTTCACCAGGAAGGATTGAGGGTGGGAGCAGCGCCTGGGGTTGAAACGGTGTGTGAACTGCTGACTGTGCCCAAAAAATGAGGTACAGACGGGGGGAGACCGTTAATGAAAGCACCGAGCCGGCCACATCTGTGATTGAATACTTGGTCTCTTAGTCCCTACTGCTGTGTTTACTGCTCCTTAATGCGGCATTGTTTACCCGCCATTAAACTCTTTGCCTTTAATTGAACTCCCAGACGCTGAATCGGTCACGCAGACACAGCTGCCAGCGCGCAGGCAGATGTGCCGGTCCAGGCACAGCTCTCCAGAGGCAGCAGCGCCCTGTGTCCCGCTCCCCGGGCCGCCCCGGCTCCCATCCCGGCCTCCCTCGCAGCGCGGAGCTGCGGCGTGGGAAGCTTTGATTCTCGTCAGCCTAAATTTCACACCGGAGATAACAAGCGCCTGAAACCCAGGCGCTGCTAGAAGGAGATAAACGCATTTCCCCCCATTAATTAAAACGTATCTGTAAATGTAAACTGAGATGGTGGCTGGAATAAGTTTTGAGCTGGTGACAAATGTCGACAGCAAAAGGCCCGAGATAAGACAAGGTCAGATCTGTATTTGGTGATAGGTGCCTTCACCCTGCAGAGATCTGGAGCTCTGCAGCGTCGGGCTTTGCGGTCGGTGTTGGTCGGTTGACACCAGATAGTTCAAGGCACCCACAACAGGGGAAACGGAGAGGCCTGTTGGGAGAGATCGTGGTTTATGCATGTCTCACAGTGAAGTTGGGAGCTTCAAGGGATTATGAATACATGGTATTACCCCAAATTATATTTTGATTCTTTTTGCCTAAAAAGTACTTCAATCTACATGCTGTGCATATTGATGTGTTCAATGTATCTGTTCCAAACTTGACAACTGATGTGATGTCCATCTGTAGAATTAACCTAGACTTCTTTAGAAACTTCCTTTGTCCTTCTCCGTCAGCTCTTTGCTAGTCGTGTCAGGGACACTGTAGGCAATTATTTGAAGTATTCAACCTATTTTGTGAAGTTTGTAATTACTTCTGG